AATGGATTTAATGTATGCAAAGTTATCATAAAATTTAATATTTTTCATGGAACATGCATAAATTTTAAATATACCTTACTGATAGTAATATGCACAGATCTTCGGTTGAATATAAAAGCTTTCATGCCTGATGAAAATTTAACGCCGAAAATTCGAACTTAAAAAAGAGAATTATTCTTAAAATATTAATATATGTTGGATCATACATCAGGGTTCCATATTTCATCGAGAAATCTATAAATGAGGTTGGCGTAAAACTCATTTAAATTTATGGATCTGCAATGAAATATATACTTGTCAATTTTCAACTTTTTTAACTTATTTAAAATTAATAATATATATTTGTATACTTTTATCCCTTTAATTATTATTAAGAGCTTTGTTTACGGAGGATGAGCACGATCGTCGTTGTATCGTTCGAAAGTGGGTTTGCTTTTATCAACGGTGGCGGCTTGCTCGCTTTTTAGAATTCATTTTCGGCTTTAAGCTTCATTTCGCGCGCGCGAGAATTAAGCACGCCGAGGGGCGGCGGCGAGAGCAGCGGGTGGTTGGAGGACAAACAGCAGATTGGTAGGCGTTACCGTGGCACCTCGTACACTTAAGGTCCACTCGTAACAAACGAACAGCACCAACGACAAACAGTCGGTGTATATGTACGTGCAAGGTACAGTACGTTGCAACAATATTCCTCGAGGCTTGATCCGCTGAACATTCTTGTTCTCGCATCAATCGAACCTATTCTCTTACCGAATCTACGATATCTCTGTAAATAAATGTTTTCGGATAAAGCGTGCGCAAAATAATTGTAAGTTCTCCTTCCTCTTTTGTATTTTTAAAAAGTAGATGTTAAATAAATTACGTTTCATATTTCAGATTATTTAAAATTATAATAAAAAAAAATTGTGTTGGATTTTTTATAATTTAAAAATTCAATTTAAAAATTAAAAGCGAGAAATCAAAATAATGTTTAAATATTACACGACCCCAGAACTGATCAGTTTCAGTGACCTTATTCAACTTCTATTTCTATAAAATCGAATTTATGTAATTGAGTATTTTGTAATAATGTCACTCAAAGTCAATGTAATGAAAAATATTACGAAATTATGTTTTTCTTTACGAAAAATTTACATTTAAATTGATGATTGAACAGCGATAATATTTTGCGCGCAGTTTTTATCCGTTTTGTCTTCTGGTATCGATTTTCTTTAATCCGATGAATAAAAGATACGTGCCGATTTAAGCGCGACTTAAGCTTTATCCCCCCCCCCCCCTCTCTCTCTGTCTCTCTCTCCCTCGCTCGTTCTTTTGAATTGTCAAAACCCAGATTTCTCGCGGTTCGGAGAGCGCCTGACTCTTGGACAGTATTATCCCGATGCATCGTAGCCACGTGTACGTGTCGCACACGAACGCGCAAACACAGGCGCGGTTATTTCGCGGCGTTCGCGTGCACGCGCCGTTGCTCGTTGCTCGTTGCAATTCAGACCCCCTTTTTTGTAATTTACGACAATACGTACGCGGTCGAGAGAATTACGACGCGAGCGGGCGGCGTCGGCGCTCTGGATTTGTTTAATCGTCCCTGAGTAGAACGAAAATTCTGTCCGCGCGACCTGCATAGAGTACGCCCGAACTCGAAATCCCCCCCCCCCCCTCAAGTGAGGATGCAGAATGCACTCCCGGCGATGGTGCTCGCTAGAGAAGCGACCGAACGAGACGAACTCCCGGCGAACCGTGGCGCGTAACGAGGAATTCATTTCGTCTTAAAAGGAAGACGTGGACTCCCGGTACACCAGGCACGATCGCGAAAAAATGATAGGGTGATGAATGGACGCCTTCTATATAAAATCAACCGAGTGCTTTTACACCAATACCTGAAAGATAAGTTGAGGTTCTGTCCTCAAAGACGAGAATGCGATAATATTTTATGTCGTTGGGAATATTTCTAGCGTTGTGTATCATAATACGTAATCTCGTGTAATGCAAAAAAAACTTGCATGATTTAGCGTGGTGATTTGGTCCTGTGATATAATGTACCTATTACTAGAATGACATATTTAGAAAAAAACATGAAAAGGATGTTACACACTGATAAAAAGTTACTTAATTTTAATAAATATTTGTTTGAGTTATACTAAACATTTACTTACGGTAAATAAATATTTATCAATAAAAAAAAAATACTTAAGTTACACAAATTAATGATCTTCTATCAAATAAATATATATTTATATTTAGTAAATATTTAGTTAGTATTGTGTTTAAATAAATATTTATTAAAATTTAGTAAATTCTTTTTAATGTATCATTGATTGTAATCTTCATACTTGATAATTAGATAAATTTATGGGGTAAAAAATATATTGTAATATTTAAATGTATTATAATAAAATATGCAATAGCAAGGTAATCTCAAAATTAACAAAATTTATATAATTATTTACTTATTATTCATAAAGTTCTTCAGAAATAAAGATATCATATATATCGCTGACATATTTTCGAGTTTAAATCCCATCCGGTTTCAATATTATTATTTTATTATAATATTATTATTAATAATATTATATTTGTCATAATTTAATAGGATATAATTTAACACGAATGATAGTTACATTTTTATGACTGAAATCAATTTAAATCAAATTTTTATTGTTTGAAATCAATTCAAGCCATGCTTATTTCTGTACTTATACAGGAGTGTATTCTCTCTTGGTCAAATTGTTATTAACTGGTTTTATTTTCTCATTAATGCATTTATATGTCAACTTATCTCTTGTACTTTTCTTGATATTTATTTATGCTAAAGTAAGTTATTTTTGTTAAATAAAATGGGAAAGAAAGTAAAACCCATAGCTCATCCAATTAATATAACAAAAATAAACCATTTAAAAATCCTTTCAATTTAATTGTAAATGGGCCGCATCAACTCTTGTTGCATCTTTTTCAATCCCATCTTTACAATTTTCATATCTACATGGCTTGCTGCTTATCCCGATTACCGGAAATAGATGTATAAATCAGAATGTCGTCGATCGATCGTTTATCTCGAAAGTAAGGAATTTGACTGCGAGTCGGGAAATCGAGAGAGCTTCTTGATGCCTCTCGTTCCGCCTGCATTGGCACATCTTTCAAGTCGGGAGATTCTAACTGTTATGCTAACGCGAGTATGATAATCCGCGGACTTCGTCATCCGCGGGACGTCGGGAACTCGCTCCGGCTGTACATTTTCCAAAGCCAAAGCCAAAGAACGGAAACGTAGGACACGCTCTTCTCCAAGACCGGGACCCATCCTCCCGTCCTCTCCTACCACTGAGTTGAAAAAGTCCATTAGTATGAAAATGCGATATAAGATGGGTTTGAATAAACATGCGCCGTCCCTTTCTTCCGCGACGTGTCTACATCGTGTCGCGAGCACATTTCGCCCTCGTCGTCTTCCTTTCCCCGTCCCCGTCGCGCTACCTTGTCGTCGACGTCGTCGCCGTTCTCCATCGCGCACGTCGACACGCCCGTCCGGGTGCACAGACCTGTACAATTCTAAAGTTATTTTATTTAAAGTTTTATAATCCGCACGGGCCGAACGTGTTGGCCGACCTGCCACCTCCGCGCTCCGCATTCGCCGATGTCCATCGCTCGATATGCATTGTGTTTCTATATAAAAGTACGGAGAAATTTAATAGAAATTAATCAATTTCGTCTTTAATAATAACTGATGACACTGACTTGTCCAATTAATATATCGAAATAAGCATTTATTATACAGAAAAGACAATTTTGCTCAAATTTTTAAAAATTGAGCTAAATATAAATCTGAAAATATTGTTGTTAGCTTATTAAAATCATTATGTGGAACAATCAAGCATAATAAACAATGCTACGTAAATGGTTTATACATTTTAACAATCACCTTGAGCATCTTACATAATAATTAAGATAGCCTAACAAAATTATTGCTAGATCTGTATCTAGCTAACTTTTTAGATACTTTCTGATATTATAATTAAGACACAATATACATTTGAGTTTCATCTTTGATATTAAATCGTCTGCATTGTAGTTAATTTCGTTTTATTCTTATTAAATAGTGCAACGTAACAAACTACTTGTAATTTCACAATTGGTCCATCCATTTGTCCGTCTGCAAGATTGCTTAATTTTTTCATATTCTATTTTTGACAATAGATATCCGAGAATCTTAGCTCCACCGAGGCAAAACATGAATCAAATCCGTTGACCGAGTTCAAAGGTTAAACTCAATTTTAAGAAAGTTCAATAATTATATCCAATAATTATCGATTTTTCGGTATAGTCTGCACTACTGACAATTATGAATTAGCTTCATTCATTGAAAAAGATTAATCACATTTCAGATCCTGAAATATTTTCTAAGTAAGATGTGAAATAGTCAGTTTTGTTCATGTGTTTACGTGATACGTTGAAAATTAGTAAAATCAATTGTCGAGATAATATTTTTGCTACTCAGACTCTCAAGATCATCATGGTCCACCTAAAAACACACAATTTCAATTCTCATTCCTTTAGTCCTCTTAATCTCTTTAATCCTAATCTGTTCGATACACGTATCGTGAGAATAATTATTATAAATATCTATTTCTCAATTCGAATAATTTATGATTTATATGTGTCCTTTAACTTAGTTTGACATTGTTACTTCAAAAGCTCGTAAAGTTCAAATGCTGATGTGTTATAAGAATAAAAAAAAGAAAAAAAGGTTAAACGAGATCAGAGGAGTTCATCTGCGAGTTCATCTCGCGGACGGTTCGGCGCCGACTCTCAGTACAGGACGGACGACGTCGAGCGGCGCCGAGCGAACGCCGGAAACTACCGAGAGGTCGAAGCGCGCCAAAGGGTTGGCATGAGACCGTGTCGGCCGCCCGCGTGATTGCCATTACGCCACGGAGCCGCGGTACCTGCAAGACCTCCCACACTTCTCTCGGCCGACAGTTACTCGCTCGGAACACGACGGGTCGGTCGCTCCTAGTCCGCGCTCCTAGTCCGGTCCCGGTACGCGCCGACGATAGTATCGCGGAGGATCGCGATTCTGCTGCGTCGGCGGCACAAGCCGCTCGCTAACCGGCAGATAAAGGAGAAGTCAAGCCGACCGAAAGTTCGCAAGTTGAATTATCGGAGCCGGGTGGTATGAACTTGAATTGACGGATGGGTGCGACTGGCACCTCGAGCAAAAGCCCGCTGTTTTCGACAACAAAAGTCAAGGTTGCGTTCCGCGACGTTTTGCGCGAAAAATTCGAACATCGTGTGGTGCGCTTCCTGCTAAATGCGCCGCCGAATTGAATTAGACTGCAGGTAGTTCGGTTATACAGGAAGGCATGCGATTATCCGGCTGATAGAGTCGCTGTTCGTCGGAGCGATGTAATTGACGATAATTGTGTGAGTACGAGGGTGAAAGCTCGATCTATCGTTCCACACGCTTGCTAGTCATCCCGAAGAAAATTCTATGTTGATTCTCTACACGTTTTGTTTCTAACTCGGTGTAAGTAGTGTTTTCGGAAATGACTGATCCAGGTGTTATTGTTGATATCTTAAATAAGCCTGTCGTTCGTCAAGCTAACGTTAAGCTAATTTTCTCATCTGTTTCGGATCGGACCCTCTGTTTTCCTTGGCTGACTGTACGATCTTTGATCCTCAGCTTCTATCGGTCTATTCATAAATGGTGTCGCGTTACAAAATTCATTCGACTTAATCGGCGTATCCATTTTCATTCTTAGTACTATCAAATTCTTCGTCCGCTATAAGACTAAATATATTCCATTAACATTTTAGTTATATGAGCCGATGACGAAATTAAAATTGCAAACTTAAGATAACGTCTGTATATTGAATCATTCAAAAGAACTTTGAGTGAATATAAAAGTAGACTTTTTAATCTGATGTATTTTCTTTGAATGAAAAGATTCCTTTCAGCAAATTTCATTTTTTAATCAAAAAACTTAAAAAAACAAAATTATTGTACATAGAAATGAATGCAAAGTTGCGATAGCGTTAGATCGCGATTTCAAGATCTGATAAATTATTTTAATATTTTATTATATCTCTTACTTCGTTTATAACCTAGAAAAGTTTTTCGCGCTAGCTCTCGTTGCGAAACTTTTCTATGCATAGGCATGTTCCTGAATTTATGACGTCTATTTCATCGCTCCGTATATATTTAAACGTCTCTTCGATGTTCATGCTTTATGAGGGGTGGAAAAGTGCAGTCCGCATTTGTGAAGCATGTCGCCCGGGAATCCAGCTAATCCTTCATCCAAAATTATCCCCATCGAGAAGACGAAAGGCACAAATATATTTAGCCTTTTCATTTTTTTCTTCTTTTACTCTTTCTTTGCTCAAATGAGTCATTAATGAACCTAACACGCGAGTTCTTCCAAAGTTCCAGTTTCTCATTCGCGCTCACTCTGTCTCTTTCGTCAAATCTTTGTCAAAAGGTTCACATTTGAACATGAATCCGTTCCAAGGTTGCAAGTAGCTTACGTCCGGTTTCACGAGCACAACAATGAAATATGAGAGCAAGAGTCATCGCCGATGACTCGGCGTTGTCGTGCTGATGCATCATACAGTACTGTTAGACATCAAAGGAGCAATGATAACCCAATCTGTTAAGTTAAGTAATATTTTGTTATTTTCAACTTTCATATGTGTTAAAACGTAAATCACGTTATTCTGTGAATTACATTTCTGTGGTTAGTTTCAAAATAAACATCATTCACAATTACGTCTGCATTTAATAAATAATAAACTAAGTTTGAGTAAAATTTAATACATTTTCTTGAACTAAATTATTCAAGACCCATAATCAAGACCTAAAGTATTCACAGTTCATTTTTATTTGTCTTAAATAGTATCTTAAAATATTAATACGACTCTCTAATTAGTTTATGATTAAGACAGTCTTAAATATAGGATTTATATTGATCTATCGCCATTGTTTTAATTAAATTAATGACGCATTGAGTAAAAGTAATGGTGACCTATAGAAATGATTAACACCTCAAGTTGAGTATAATTTGACATTACGAATGTAATAGTGAGGGAGAGCGTTTGAAGAGAGGAAAAAACATAAAGTAGTTTAATACCTCCCACATTTCTGTTGACAGTCGTAGTAAAATATCCCTATATTCGATGATTCTTTCTTCTATGACAACTAACAGTGTGCTAGTTCAGATTTGGTCAACGCGACGTCTTCATTCCTCTCCCGCTTTCGATCGAGGAAGGTTGATCGCATTCTCAGATCCATTGCCGATGATTCGTCCAGGAAAAGTCGTAGGTTCGTAGATTCTGGCGGTAAAGTAACGCTTTTAATTAGCGGAGAAGTCGTGCCGTCTAATAATGTCACCTTTGACCACGATCGATTTGTTGGTGCGGCTGTTTCGACCCCCGCAAATTTCGATCGTCGCGCTCGGAAGACTTTTCGTGATCACGGTTACGTTTCTCTGAAGTGGACGTAACTTGTTTTGCTCGAGGTGCAAGGCGTGTTTCACTAGAGCCCAGGAAAGTACCTTCCCGAACGACCGAGGCTCGTGCATAATGTACGTAACCCGTATGGCTGGGCGATTTGTGAAGTTAAGCCGGCGTTAGATGTACTCGTTTCTCACCGTCAGTGACAGAATTCACGTAATTTCTAACAGCGCTTGTATAATTTCCCTTTACGATCTCGACGAATAAATCCGGACCGAGATTGACGCGCGTCGTAAAGTGCGGGGTTACGAGTTTGCGACGAACGTTGTCACCCAGTTTCTAATCCATCGAGGTTTCTTTACATCCGAAATTAAATTGCGGAGTAAATGTAGGGCACGGAGTCCGAAAAAATCTTATTTGCTACTCGAGTAAAAGCGAACATGAGTTTTTCCCCGAGTAAATCCTTCCGAGGCACGTAACGAAAGTCTAGCATGCATCTTCGCGACGTGCTTTTACGCATGGTATTCCTGCCACTAATACGAAAGCGCGATCGCGGAAAGCACCGTCACCCGGTCGGTGTCCTCTTGCATTATAATCAAGATAATGGCAACTTTTATAAACAATTTCAATCGGATAATCCAAGTGATAAAAAGACTGACGTATAAAAAAGTATTATCCATTATTATTGTAAGAAACTCATTGAAATTTCGCGTTATGCACGTTTTTCTTTGCTGAATTAGATATTAAACAAAAATTAAATATTTACAGTCGAGAATTAAATATTTTTGAAACTGCGACAATAATTATATTCGTCATACATATTTTTAATCCCCGAAGCTGATGGTCTATTTATCCCATTTAATTATAAATTTCTATGTCAAAAATGTCAAAAAATTAAACATTTCTTATATTACATATGTAAATTATTCTTATTAAAATATATTTAGTATTTATTTCTTTCATAGTTATGTCAATTTGGTTAAAACTAATTAATGTATTTTAATTAACATAAATGGGTCCTACAGACTTAGCGTCAGTAACCGTGTTACAAATTTTTACCGTCAGCTCTGGAAGATTAATAATAAAAATTTGTACGCGGAGGAAAAGAGAAGCATGAAAATGTTTTCAATCTCGATGCACTATTGTGGTGGTTAATTGCGATTGGATTTATCAAAATCGGTTAAATAATATGTAACGCGATAAATGTTAACGATATTGGAAAATTGGAGTACAGTAGAAGAAAAGCCGGTGACACAATGGAGAAACCGCGACAGCGCCGACAATGCAACGGGGAAGCGAGATTGAAGACCGTGGCTGGCGTGCATCAAACTCGACGGCGGCGGGCCGTCATTCAGAAAATAATTAAAAATAATTGAAAAACAGAGCGCGTCGTGGCGGCATACGGCCATTGTCTGTTTACCGGGGCGCACAATTTCCTCGGCTTTTATCGCAACCGCACCGCGCAATCCGGCTTAATCCGCGCGAACAAATACTGAATTGTCGCAGCGCGTAAGGATGGAAAAGAGATAGACCGAGTAAGGAGAACATCCAGGTGAGAAATTGCATAAATCGCGAGACCGGATCTTATGATTCAAACGTGGCAAAAATCGAGGAAAAGAAAAAAAAATGTACAAACGCAAAAAAGAAGCTGTTTTTCTTCATGTCTCCTTTCTTGTTACGATTAACGACCATTGACAATGTGGGATTTCTTTAAATTATCGATTATATTTTGGAGGATAAATTCACGGTTGTACAGCAATTTTCTCTAATGATAAATTGAACCGAATGAACGCAAGTAATGAATCGGAAGTTATCTCGGAAGAAAAAAAAATACGACTCTTCCACAGAGCAAAGAGACAGAAAGAGAGACGGAGAGAGCGAGAAAGAGGGGAAGAGAGAGAGAGAAAGAGAATCGCGTCGCAGAAAAATCGTGACACGGTGTAAAAAACTTTTCTCAACTTTCTACGATCTATCTTCATCGCGTGCCTCGACATTCTGCCAGACGAGACGAGACGAGACTTGCGGTTCCTGCCGTTTCCTGCCATATTCGGTTCCATCGCCGGTATACTTAAGTAAAGTTCTCCGCGGAAACGATCAGGGAAGGTGCTTTCCGTCGTGATCGGCACGCACAAGTCAATTAACTTTTGCAATCATATTTAGCTCCTGAGTGTACCAACTTTCGCTTTCCTTCGTGGCGGCCAGGACGAGCTTCTGAGGCAGCCAGAAACTCTCGGGGTCTCGTTTCTGTACGAGAGACGGCGTGCGCGCGAAATTTTGTATACACGGCAAATGAATCGCTCGTAAACGATCGACAAGTGAAATGGGACTGCCGGCGACGAGACTCCTGCCAATTCTTTTGCTCCTGCTGGCTCTAACACGATCGAACCTCTCGCAGAGGCACAGACCTCCACATCGATCACGCAATCGAGGTAAATACGATCTCTTACAGAGAATCCTAGCTGTTCATTAAACTAACCCTCTTAAGCTCGATAGTGGTGATCGTATCGTCACATGGAATAAAGAAATTTTTTTACGACTCGTGTAAATTATGAGTTTAAAACTTTTCTCGACTACTTTCAACGGTCCATTTCATTGCTGGTGTAATGCAAATGTCTCCGCGCTATGACGCTGTGATGTGCTGCCATTGCCGAGCTTAATGCGTTAAGTATTAAAGCGGTCGTAGTTTAATATCTTAAGGGGTCCTAAAGTCGTTTGTTTTATCGATTTAGTAGGACTTATGTATATACTATTTATGTAATTTACACATCAGTATGCACTACTCGATATCGCCCATACACACCGATAAATTTTTTTAATTTACTAATCTTTTATATTAAACATTTAAGCCTGATTCCAAGAACTCAACATTGTTTATTCATATATAATCCCTAGTCCAAATCAAGATTGTTTTATACGTATAAAGCATAAAACTTGTATATAAAGCAAATATTGTTAAGAGTGAATGCCAAAAGCTCATAACAAAATTGTAATTTTCCAACTTTTTTTGTTTTTGGCACAAAGTCGGCCGGACTACATTACCATTTACATTTTAATTATGAAAAAGGATTTTTAAATCTGTGTATGAAGGCAAGTTAAAAAAATACTTATTCAAAAAATAGTCAGTAAAATTCATAAAGGACTTTAGGTCCCCTTAAGTTTTATTTTGCAATTTTTCTTGTCTGCAGTAATAGCTAATAATTTCTACGAATGAAAAACCTTTGCGAAAAGGTACGATTGATCAGCGATATCTTATAATGGAGAAAGATGATTCGCGTTAAAAGTTTTATCTATACAAAGAAATCGTTCTACTCGCTCAGATCTGCGCCAAGTAAGAACCCATTACTTCTCAAGTTCACGACAAGTGAATAGCATTGTTTTAAGCGATTACACAATTTTTCCGGCAATTCTATATTTCTCTCACCTTCTTTCTATTTTCTTTTACAGCGTGTCGCCCTTACTCTTTTTTTCTCTCCCTATCCTACTTCAGTAGACTCTCGCACTTTCTTTCCTCGTTCTCTACTATTCTCTTTCGTGCTATAGTGCTGGCGTTTAATTGCATGATGTCGGGCACACGATGTATTTTCAGGATAAATCTCGCGATGTTTCGTTTGCGCTAGAAAACGCGGGATTATAACGCAGCGACTAAAGGAGCGAAAAAGAGAGGAAAATAACGCAAGAAGTCTCTTTTACGCGTAGCGGATAATACAGTGGCGCTCGAATATCGTTCTTGAAATGAAACAATCGCCCGGCCTCTTTACTCATAAATCTTGACACTTTCTTTTCCTCGCGTGCTTGCATTTTATGCGTCCGCATTAAGCTCTAAACATTTGATATGAAAATACGTTAGACTTGACGGGACGTTTTATATTTTTAAAAACAAACACATTTGTTATATGTACATTTTGATAATAATTGATAATATGATATTTATAAATGCTTTTTAGAACGGTACAACATTCCTAACGAAAGACCTGTAATTGTTCGTAAATTTGGCTAATTTGATGCTTTGAGTAAGCTACTGTAAATTTATTTATTATTTGGAATATAGTAATTAAGGCGTCAATTTAAAAATTAAAATTGTTTTATGGTATTTGGATTTTATGGGATGATAACTTGTGTCTCTACAAAAAAAAAAATTTAAAGGTAAGGAACTGGAAATTCTATTTATGTGTTCTAAACAATGCAGCGAGTGACGATAAACGCGGCCACGCGCGCACATAGATACCTATACATGTATGTATTTGTGTGGCTACTATAAAACGCACGTAATATAAAAGCTGCCCCCCAGCTATCCCTACCGCACAGGCGATGTGCTCTTTTTCCCTCCAATTTTTTCATCCTACTCGCTCCCCGTATTGCTTGCGCTGAAAGCTCCTAGTTGCACCGCATTACACTGTAGCAGTTTATGTCCTGAGATATAATATTCAGTTTAGATACACGAAGATATTAGATAGAAAAGAAACAGTTAAAAGTATCACGAGAAAAGATTTCTCGTCATTTTGTAAAGGTCTTATCGAATTTACATTATACAGACAAGTTAATTTGTAAATGTCACATTAACCCTTATAACCCTTTGTGAACCGGCGACCCCGTTTGGGGTCACCCCCTTTTATTTTATAAAATGCTCACCTGTTTTTATAAAACTTGAACTATGTAGTAATTTGATAATGCTTCATTCGAATCTGAGGTCAAAAATAAAAAATTCAATATAGTGAATCCAATATGAGATAGAATTTAAAAAATATAGAATTTAACAAATAGTTTGATTATTTTTTCTCCTCAAACTCGATTTTAGGCAGCTTTTAATTGCGAAAAACATCACGTGTTCAGTTTCGCTTTATTTGAAGCTCATGCTTAACACATAAACACTTGGTATATTGATTTCCAAACGAATTTTCAAACTTTAATTATGAATCTTGTGACACTAGGTCTTCCTTCATGGATTTACTATTTTGAAATTTGATATGTTTAAGCTACATTCAAACACAGATATCAAGAATCTCCTAAAACTGAGTTTCACGATAATCAGATTATTGTTTTAAATTTGAATTTTACAATTCTAAAACCAGAATCAAATTTTACGATCCCGAAAACTTTTGGAAAGTAAGATATTCTATAAGTTACTTTGTTAAAAAAGGTCCTCAAAGAGTTAATACAATGATTTTTCAGTCTTTTATTATACTATGGGTCTAGGTTAATTTTCATTACTTTTCCACACAAATATATAAAAGTTATTAAATAATTCTTACATATACTTTGATATCTTTAGAAAGCATTTGTAGGGCTGTGTGTTAAAAAGAAAGCAAAGAAATAGAGACCATTATTTATCCAGATGTTCCTAGTATTTCAAAGAAAAGAAAACGTGCCGGACACAAATGATCTATCGTATGTACTGAAGATTAAAATTTATTGAATAGAGAAAAAAATTTACAAAATTGGATATCAGTAATATAAATTTATATAAATTTATTAATTTAATTACTATTAATTATCAATTAAATAAAATAACGGCCATTTCTTTAGCGCGTTAATACCAATGATTGTGTCGCGAACAGAATCTGCTGACCAAAATAAATTCGCTATAACCCGCGATTAATTTCGATTTAAATTTAAAGTGGCCCGTTGCGATGTTCGATCTATGTACTTTCGAAATAAATAACAGAGCACGGAATAATAATTTAGAACAATTAGACGTTGATAAGAAAACTCAATAGGATTTCTCTATCCATTTGCGCCCTCGATTATTGTAATAATAATCGACGATTATTATTATACAAGCAACGTCAAATTGGAACATAAAGTGATACAAATGTGAACACAAACTCTAGCGCGATTATTGCGAAGGGAAATGGGTCGAGAGGATGGTCGACATCTAGCCGAAGGGGACAAAACACGGGATTCGTAGTCATCTCTGCAGAATCGGACGATGGAAGGTTACTATTACGCGGTGGTGGGTGGCGTATGGGCAGATTCGTTATTATTTATTAATACATTTACGATTGTGCGGTAAAGTAACAGCCAGAAGTTCGTGACGCGGCAACGACCTCCCGCTACAGGGCTAATGGGCAAGAAACTCGGAAGTTCCATAACCGGCGTTAACGACACGTTGCGTTTATGCGTTGGCGATCCTGGCCGATGTTGTTGTTCTCGTTAGTAACATCTCCTAATCCCACCCCCGTCGCGTAAAAAAACGTATTCGCGTAAAACGCGCTCATTCGCCCTGATTTCTCCACGAGACGCAACATTTTATGAATTATAGTGCCGCGTTAAACTCATCACTATTGCTATTAGTCTTTCAGATGACGTTTATTATGATGAGAATGTACGTATTACTGCTTTTAGAAAACAATTTTTAACCCTTCAACACAGTTGGAAAATTTGTGTTAAATTTGACACACTTTATGTGTCCTAAACAGTCCACTCAAATTTTTGTATTAATTTAACACAAGGCAAATATGTTAGAAAGTAATACAAACATTATATTATAAAAAAAATTAATTCAAAAAATGTGACAAACTTACTTAATTAAAAGTTAAAAATGATATAAAAATTAAAATAAATTATAATTATGAAAACAGAATACAATTAAGGATTTCTATTTAATTTTTCTCTTTCGCATTGAATGTTTATATAATGCCATTATTAAAGTTTGATTTTATAAATTGTATTTTTAAACTAAATTTTATTTTATAAAAATTATCTACTTTAAAATGTAATAATTTTCTCTTTAAAATGATATAAATTTATATCAACTTATAAAAAGAATTAATATGAACTATATTATTATTCTCTAAAACAAAGTCGAGATTGATTCCTTATGTATTGTTGAGTTTTTATTATGTTTTTGGTTATCTACATATAATTTATATTATTGTATCACAAATGGCTATAAAACTGTATGGTGTACTGGTTAATTTAAATTTCAACTATGTTACGCTTTTACCTGAACTCTTGTTAAAAAAAGGAAGCAAAACGCTTTCGGCCACCACATTTCAGTTTGCATAAGAACAATATAACTACACGTTTTCGTCAACAATGATTTTCGAATGCACTGTATAGGAAAAAAAAAGGAAAATATTCTTTGTTGATTTATTCTCGCGCAAATGGCGAAAATGAATACTAATACACAAGATAGCACCGCGCGAATTAAGTGATTCGCGCCCGAGAGTACGCTGTAATTTCAGTGTTAATAGATTTTCCTCGTGCAAATCAAAGCGGGGATTCATTTTCAGAACAGTCGGGATTTACGCCGGTATTAAACCCACGGTCACCATTGTCGATTTCGACAGCGAAAGTGCGAATCGTTAAAAGGCGGAAGAATAGAAACGGAGACGCGGTTTCTCGCAGGTTATCCTTAAGTTGAACATTATCATCCCCCGGAGCAATCCCCCGCAAAGATAATTCTTCAATAGGCGAAAACTCGTTCTTC